TTTTCGCAGTAGCGACAACTGGCGACTCTGCTAGGAAATTCAACTCTGCTGGAGACTTCAGTCTGAACCATCGAGAGCTAACACTTACAAATAGTCTTCTACGTATGCGTTAGACTGGCTGTTATATAATTCACCTGACCACTGTTATATAAATAATTCATCTGAGGCGGTTTGAGCAACCAACAGGAGGTAGTTGACCACCAACACGAGGTAGTTAAGGGCACCAAGGAGCCGGTGGTGATGGCAGCTGCGACAGCTCTTCCACTAAGTCGTTATCAGGTGATGAAATATCCTCCAATGAAAACGACACAGGAGGTGGTGGAGGCGGCAGCATCTCAAATGACAGCTGAGGCGACATCTGTATCTCCACTGAGAGCGGAGGCTGCTGCTTGAATAATGCAGATAAAGTGTCTGGTGGAGGTAGAGGTGGAAGGATCTTCCTGCCATCTTTCGGCGTGAGGCGGAAAATTACAAATGCGTCTATGGCCATTCCGACCATAAATGCAGCAACCTAAGAAAATAATGAAACAGTAAATAAGTATGATTGAACATGCTAAAAGAAGAAATAAAGTAACAATATAGAGAACCTGCTTAAATTAATGGAACCAATGAGAAGACAATATTTTAAAAAATAAAATAAATTGATTGAGATGATGTAATAGTTACACTAAGTGTTAGTGGACTATTTTCTAACAGGGTGTTCAACAAACAAAGTTCTAACTGCATTTTCTAACATATTTCTAAAGAAGCAACAACAAATTCACCTTTACATAACTAAGTAAAGTTAAAAAGAAGAACATACCATATATAGAAGTAACAGATTTCCAATGAAGCAAAAAAAATTCATCTTAGAGAACTAAGACACATAACTAAGTTAAATAAAAGAACATACCATATATAGAAGAAGAAGATCCATGAAGAAATGAAGAAGTTGAGGGAGAAGCTGAGAAAATGAGAAGGAAATAAGTATCACTTTAAACTTATAAGGTAGAGAATATTTTCCAAGTATATAGAGTATTGCGCTAAAAGGAGTAAATAAAAAGGGGATGAGAGAGAAAAATTATTTAAGAAATAAAAAATGTTGGGATATGTGAAGAAAATATTTTTAAAAAATAAAATAATTTTTGACTGAAAAGTTGAGAATCCAAAAATGTGGGGAAGGGGGCGGTAGGTAAACTTTACCCTGCTGTACATTGTCCAGCAGTGCCAAATCATGTCAATCATGTTTATTCATGCACATACATAGTATCCAAAGGTTTCATACACATACACATTATTCAAAAGTATAGGTAAATCATGTCTATTCAATAAATAATTTTTTTTAAAATAGGGTTAGTAAATCGATTTTTTCACCCAAATAACCAAGTTTGTACACTATAATTTCCAATCTACCCAACTTTCCAATATATTATCCAATCTACCCTAGTTTTGTATTTTTTTTTTATTTTTTTTTTACAAGGGGGCGCCATGGGGGTTGGAGTCTCCCTTATAATTTGTATGGGGGCGTCATAGAGGTTGGAGCCACCCTACAAATTATAAAGGGGGTGCTATACCCATTGGAGCCTCCCTTATTTTTTGCTTGAATGTATACATATAGATTAAAATCCCACGAATTAAATATTATTAAAACTATAAGGGGGGCGCCGTGGGGGATGGAGCTCCTTCTTTAAATTATAAGGGGGGCACCGTGGGGGATGGAGCCCCTTCTTTAAAAAATAAGGGAGGCTCCAATGGGTATGTCGCCCCCTTTATAGTTTGTAGGGTGGCTCCAACCCCCATGGCGCCCCCATACAAATTATAAGGGAGGCTCCAACCCCCATGGTGCCCCCTTGTAAAAAATAATAAAAGAAAATACAAAACTAGGGTAGATTGGATAATATATTGGAAAGTTGGGTAGATTGGAAATTATAGTGTACAAACTTGGTTATTTGGGTGAAAAAATCTAGTAAATCATGTCTATTCAATAAATAATTTTTTAAAATAGGGTTAGGAAAAGGTAAAACTTATCTTTTATTCAGGAACTCCAACAATGGACAGTAGGCTAAAAGCTTCATATGCAGCACGGTATGTACCAGAGAGTTTTACCCATCTATAATAAACACAATATACAATGTTAAATATATGAGTAGTGAGTATAACAAGATCTATTTGAGTTTTAGTTCATTTCCCCAAAAAATCGTTAGTGGAAGAGAAATATTTTTGCAATCCTAGCGGTTAGTATGATTTTAAAATCAACTAGCATTTGAGTTGCTGTTGAAATTGAATTTTTATTTTATAATTTTTTATATCTAAAATAATTTTTTTTGGAAGAGAAAATACTTTATTCAAAACCGAAAAACATTACAAGCAAAGTGATCGACAACGGATCTGGAAAAAACAAAGAACCTAGATAACACTATCCCAAACAGCTAAGGCATCATAAGAACCAATATTAATGATTTTGGTACCTATGGAGTTTTCACATCATTACCAAAACACTGCATATTTTTAAACAGCCGAAATTCATAAACAGCTAAAGCACATTTTAAGATGTTAGCTCTCCATCACTTAAGATGTTAGCTCTCCTTATTCCAGCCACTTGGAGTGTGGTTTATCTGCAACGCAAGCATCCAAATAGAGTTCAGAACCGGGCGAAGGAAAAAAAGATGTTTAATTGTTTCATGTTCCATTCAAAAGCAACAAATATCGTTACCAACAACCATCCGAAACCGATGCAATCTCTCTTTAGTAGGTAATCTCCCATGGCATGTCATCCACAAGATGAGCAAGGCTCTTGGGCTAGCAACATTCCCTTGCATTAGATTTCTCCAATTGACCTCCTGGCACTATATCTTTATTCCCTCATACACGCTCCTCGTGTGAAACTGAGTCTTCTGCATCATCATGTTCCATACTTGCAGCTGACCGAACTCCTTTATTTTAAAATAGCTTTTAAGATACAAGAGCTAGTGTTCCTAACAGGCATAGTCATAACATCCATATGTTTGATATAATAGTCGTGAACCCATTCAATCCAGAAGCTACCAGCTTTACCATTCAGGTTCCACAATAATTTCCTGCAAAAAAGTATTAAAATCGCAATGTATCAGTTGACAGTTCAAAGGCAACATGACTAATGGCAATTAACATGATTAATACTAAATTAACTTGGTTCATTACACTAACCAGTCCACTCAAGTCCAGTGTTGTTAAATATCGACAGCCAAATATCGGAAGCCACATAGTGGTTAAAACAAAAATAAAAACTTAAAAACTTAAATTGAAAATTTCAAATCCAATAACTAAAACAGAAAAGCTACAAACAGAATTTAGTGAAACTAATAGTAATTCATCTCAATGCATATGCAGTAAATCATTTTACTTACTCATCCATTTTAATTAAGTCATATTCAGTTCACTATAATTGCCATCTTTCAACTAGTAAGACCCGATGCAAATTAATAAACTTGCCTCACTAACCATTTTGCTCTAGTAAATAACCATTGTCTCGGGATGAAGAGCTACAACAGAGTTGTCATCGTTGACAGCTTCGACGACAACCAGACGATTAGGAGCTTTTTTGCGTTCCAGCATGGCAGTGCTAAAATCCCTCTTTGTTCCCTTACTGAAACATGATTGAATTCATCAAAATTACAACAAGAAAAGAGAAGAATTGAAAGGAAAGGGGGAGAATGAGACACACGCATCGGAGGATTCAGGTTGATTGGCCATGGCGGAATGATCAGAAGAGATGGTTGAGTTTTTTGTTTAATGATTTTTGAGAAGAATAATAAGAAGTTCATAGATCTGAGGGTTTGCTTCTTCGATTATTGTCATATGTTTGCTATGTGTAAAGTTTTGAGTAGAATTTGTGAGCTAGGGTTTGGGAATTTGTGAAATCCGATCTATGATCAAAGAGGTGTTAGGAGTGGAAGTTGATAAAAACACAAGAATCAACTTCCACGCCGCCGTGTACTCATAGCAACCGCCGTGTTTTTTCTTGAGGGGCGCCGTGTTTGATCTTTTTCCGATGAGTTTTTGCTTTTAATTTTTGCTTGTTCTTGAGAGAGAGAGAGAGAGAGAGAGAGAGAGAGAGAGAGAGAGAGAGAGAGAGAGAGAGAGAGAGAGAGAGAGAGAGAGAGAGAGAGGAGAGGGAAGTTGAAAGCGTTCTGAGAACGCGTTGGAGAAAAAATAAACGTGTGATCAGAGCCTTTCCAGATCCAATGGACTTCTTGGAGTCAACCTGGTTGACTCTGTTGCTAGGAAAGTAGTGCTTAAGGGCTCCTCTAGGTGAGGCCCAACCCCCCTTGGCCCGTTACCACTTCCAATTTTGTTTTTATTTTGGAAAATGCTTAGTTTACTATTTAAATATTTATTTTAAAAAATGATTAAAAAATATTTACTTCTTAGACTTTTCTTTTATTAAAAAATACCAAAAATATTTCCATTCAAAATTTTAATTTTAGTTTAAAGTTTTAAAGGTAGATTTAATATGCTTTCATAAAAAATACAAAAATATATTTATGTAGATGTATGTTAAGTTTTTCAATCTTGGCTTGGACATGACCCACATGCCTCTTCAACAAATGCATCCAATAGTAAACTATAACGCCAGAGTAAAGGAGGTCCACATGCAAAAGCCATAAGAAGAAGACCCCTTGTTGGACCTCCTAAAGCCTGGAGCAAGGTTACTCCTGTTACCAAAAAGAGAAACGTCAAACCTTGAACACTGGTTTTAAGGTGTTTATTTGAAAATATGTATTATGAGTATTGGAGAGTGTGAATGTAGAGACTCAACTTGAAGATTTAAAAGAGACGTAGGTTTTAAATAGAAATTGCTCGTCTTGTGTAAATAACGCAACTTCTATTTGTCTTCGTGCTTTTAGCTGGTTGTTGCTTCCCGACGATCTGTTGGAACTTACTACATCTGTTGAATGTTGGGTACATTGATTAGGAGTCTTGATGGCGAGGCCGTTGCATTCACTTTGGCTATATAATTTATGTCCCATTTCAGTTACTGCATGGGAAATAATCTCGCTGAAGTTCCAGATTATTGGTTTTGTGAAACATGCCAATCCAAAAACTGTACAACTTCACCATGTGAAGTGAAACAGGATATTGGCCTACAGGTTTCCACACGGAAGCAATATTTTAGAACAGGACCAATAGGAAAAGTGAAGTACCTTCACGAGGAAGAAGTCATCAAACTTTCTAGCTGTAATATTTCTACAAAAGCCACTCCAGTTAGCTCTACTTTACTGATGACCAAGAATGCTAGTTCTAAACCTCCTACTCTTCTCGGGTCCTTTGCATAGGTATTTGAATTAGAGAAGTTTGAGGAGTAGAGAGGTGAAAATGTAGTAGCAGTGTTGGTGTATGTGGTGTTTGGGGTGCTTGTGTTATCATATTTGTCTTCAATTTAAGGACCTGAAGAAGACTATTGGTTATTGTAAAGTTTGATTTTTGGGTTTTGGTTTTGGGTTGAATATGTTACTTAGTTTTAGCTTTCTGCAACTTCCACGGTCTAGTTCCATAAATACTGTGTTAAGAAGAACCTTCTTTCTAAAGAAGGAAACGGAGAAGGAGAAGAAGGAGAAGGAGAAGAAGAAGAAAAAGAATAAACATAAGAAGAATAACATGAAGAAGAAGTAGATGTAACATTGTTTGAATGACACATATCTAATAAGGTAAATGACAAGGTTTACCAAAGCCGAAGGATTAACAAGGCGAACGAGAAAAGAAAAACAAACTTACCTAAACCAGGGGATTAACAAGGTAAGATAGACAAAATTTACATAACCTTACTAAATGATTAAATATTTCTTCATTATGTCAACTAGATATAATTTCTCCCATATTTTTCACCAAAACTATGACTCGAGAAGTGTTCCCTAGGCAGCCAATACACTTTGAACAAGGAGATCAGATTACATGAACAAAACAAACTATATGAAATCATAATATTAACATTTATACGTTGAGAAAGAAACATACACTTATTAATTTTGTGTGTGCATCTTGCAACTCGTTGGTTGTTTAGGCATTTTGAAACTCATCATTAGTTTTGCGCTCCTGAATAAGAAATGTTTGTTGAATTCAAATACTCAACATTCTTGTTTAGCCTTTTCCAGTAGGGGTGACTCCCTCAGCTAAAATAACCCCTACTGATATAACTCCTACACAAATTTGGGCATCTTTCTACACAAATTTGCCCAAGTTTATACCTTAGCATGACTTTCATCTTCAGTGAGGTATCGCTTAGCATACGATAGTATGGTTATTGTAGAAAAACAGTATTGTATGCCATCACATGCTCTAAAGGCGAGACCCCATACTCCATAAAGGTAGCACCCAAGCGATACCTCACTATGAGAGGGTCCTGGTGTCTCCCCTATGTAGGACTCTCATAAATATAATGCTACACAATCCCTTAAGCAAAAATACTTGTAAAGGGCGTAGTATTTTAAGGATTTTTTTGAATTATCTCCCATGGTCTAGGGCTAGACTTTCTACAAGAGGTAGATTCAATATAATGGGATGTGACTACCTTAAATGAGAGGCGGGTCTTTTAGCTAGGGAGAAACCCTCAGCTAAAGGCTTCTTTTTTAAAGGGAGGCAATCCCCTCGGCTTTAGGGCGACTCTCTCAGCTGAAGATGACTTTTATAAAGGGAGGCGAGTCTCTCAGTTTTAGGGTGAGTCCATCAGTAGAATGTAGCCTTTTTAAAGGGATGAGAGTCATGCATCTTGGGGCGAGTCCCTTAGATGAAAGCAGTCTTTTTAAAGGGAGGTGAGTCCCTCAACTTTGGGCAAGTCCATCATATTTGCTGATGCAAGCCCCCCATTTTGGAATAAGTCACCGCAACCTTGCCAGAGGTCTAATGATTAATCAGGATGTCAGCGTGGGATGTCAATCGTCATTCAAATGGTCATGTTTGATTCTATTTAATGAAAGTAATTATGATCTATTTTTCGATACCCTAAACGATAATGCCATGTGCCATAATCATGTTGAGTTTTTTAAAATTTGGGGAGCCTAAGATATTCCTTATAGTTTTTTATCTTGCTTATAAAAGCTTCTCTTTCCATTTCTTTTACTTTATATTTCTCCCACGTCTTCTGCGATCTTATTTAACCTGCGTAGCTTTTCTACACTCTACCTTATTATTTGTTCATAATCCCCTTTATATGGATTTATTTTTATCTCCCTTCCTTAAGTAGTTATGAATAAGAGTTTATAAATAAATGTTTGAAGTAGGGTTTGGGTTAGTGTAGAGCTGTAGATTTTCAGATTCGTATTCATCCTCTTTGACGACTACAATAGTGATGGTGATTTCTTTTTGACATTGGTCCTTACTATACCTATGATGAGAAAATCCTCTCGTTTTGAACAAAATTCGGTGTTTCTTCTTCAGAAGACAAAGATATGATTATCGAGGATACTTGTTCACCGCTAGAGAGTGTGACCATGCCCATCATTTATGGTCTTCCCTCCCCTTATTTCTACTTCTACCACCCTGTCGTTAAGGATATGGGGGTTCTCTTCCCCTTTTCCCCTTTTGCCATGGATATTTTGTGGGTTCTCAATGTCAATTCCTCTCAAATGTTCCCTAATAGTTGAGGTTTTATTAAAGCCTTTTAGATAGTCTATGAAGAGTTTGAGGTTTCTCATACTATATGATTTTTCTTCTCTTTTATGCTACCAGACCACAAAAGGCGATTGGGTGTCCTTAGACAGTCTACTGGGAATGCCTCTTTCACTTCTCACTCAAACCATTACAAAAATTGGAGAGATATATTTTCCCGCGTGAAAGGCGGGAGGGTTCTTGCTTAGTGTTAGGGCCTGATGACGCCCCTCTCTCCCCCTTGGTCTGGATGGATGAGCCCGTGGAAATTTTAGGATATGAGCATAAATAACTTACCCTTGAAAAGGTGAGGATAATTCTTCTTCTGGGTAAGTTTGAGGTCATGGACTCACACACAATAATTGCATTATGGCTGAAAGGCGAATATCATCTCGATAGTTACCTAGGTAAGTTTTGAATAACTTGTTTCTTTTATAGGCATTTTAAAATAACACATATGACCATTATGCATTGTTTTGCATATCAGATGGAGAAGCTTAGGGTATAGGAGAATAGTAATAGATGGAAGAGGAAATAGGTTGATCAAGGGAAGACTGATAATCCCTAGAGTCACTCGGAGGGCTTTATCATCAAAGGGGGAAAAGGCAAGCTAAGGAACCTGTTCCTGACTCGCTCAATGTAAAGCCCCAGAGGTTGGAAGAGGCCTTTTCACAAACTGGTGGTAATGCTTCGCTTACTGTAGGAGAGACGAGTGCTCATAGATCGCCCGAAGGCGAGGCTCCATGTTAATAAATATTTTAGGTGGGTTGTTTTATCGTAACCGTAGGAATTGTTCTAACATCTAGATGCTTGTCATTCAATAGTTTAAAGTTCTAAGAAAAGGGTTTTCAAAGAGTTCTTATCTTTTAACATATATTTTTGTAGCAAATAATAAACTAAAGAAATATGTTTTGTTTTAAGAAAAACATGTCAAGATTAGATTTCATTAACCCCTTTCATACATATCCGATTAATCAAGCATGTGAACTTAGTTTAGATTAATACAATCGCGTATCATCATAAATCTGTTTATTTCTAAAGCGGCTTTGTGGGTATTATTTTTTCAATCGCTAGATGATCTCTCGAATCAACAATCAAAACAATAAACATAAAGATCGATACAAAGCAAATATTAACTCCTAAATCTATGTCTAGAGTTTGTTAATAGATGAAGAAATTAGATTAAGACTTGAAAAATCTATGTTTAGAGTGATTCAAACCATACATATATCAATAAAAGCAAAGATTTTCATCATTTATTGATCATCAACCTTGTTGACATACAAAATATCAAAAGAAATACATAATAGTAAGGTTAACTACCTCTAATCTTGACACAAAAGGGTTTAGCTAGCCATATCTATGATAGCTTGATCAACAAGTAAAAAAGGAAAGCTTTGATAACATCAAAGTCGAAGAATGGGAGATTGATGCTCCAAAGTTTTGATTCTCACTTCTCTTGGGATTTCTAAGCTTTTTGCCCTAAAAATCCCTTTACATTCTGAAAAGTTGCTAAAAATGAAAAGTTATACAAAATATCTACTCAAGTGGCTACTTATAGAAAGTCCACAATGTGCCTATAAGTGGCACTGCGCTAAGCACCATCGGGGGCGCGCTTAGCGCGATCAACACGAAGGCGGCAAATTCCCAGAAAGCGCGTTAAGCGCGGTTTACCGTCAAAAAGTTGTGAATTTGGTCTTCAAAGCCCTCTTCCATAAACCATAGGTTCCAAGCATCATCTCAAGAAAGAAAATCTATCAAAAAGCATAAAAATGATCACAATTCACAATATTTACAATCATAATCGAAAACTTGCATATTTACACTAAAGCGTATGAATTTACTACTAAAATACCAAAGAAACAGTTGAAAAGGGCCACAAAATATCATCAAAAGTATGCACAATTTGGCCCTTAACACTCCACCACCCCTCATACTTTGTAGAGTGACGCCGACTTCGACTCCTTCCAATTTATGAACTCTCACCTTCCTTTCTCTAAGGATTTTCCTAATGACTACCAAGCTCTTCAATCTACTTCCACCATGCAATCATAAGCACAAAAGATAACCTTATACTAAGGACGTTGATGTTGGAAGACACTGATTGAGAGAGGTAAGATAGGGTTGAGAAGGAGATAAATGTGAAGCTCCAATAATATGTGGATAATTATGTTGAAAGCCAGAGGATGTTGAAGGCTTTGCGTAACAACAAAGAGACTTGGGAGAAGAAGCTGGCAGATGTGGATGCCAAGGTTGCAGAGATAACCGCTAATGATAAATCCTTGCAGGATTTTCATGATGCCGCCTTCCTTTCCCAAAAAAGAGATGGATAGAGAGAGGTCTCAGAGCTTACTGACGAGCTAGTGTCGACCTATGCCATCTACTTTGAGAGGGCGAAAGATCAAATCTCCTTTTTCTATCATACCCTGGAAATGAGAAAATTAGATTTCATCAAAGTTGTCCGAGATAGCCAACTAGTGGATGAATAGGCTATGGTTGTAATACCTGAGGCCAACGAGGGCGGGGAGTGGCCGCCGATGCATAAGTCATGACAATAAGAGACTTTTGGAAGCTTATAGGAAAAAACTGAATTCACATTGGAATGATAGGTGTTATGGCCTGGGCCCCGGCTTGGACAGGCAGGCCCAGCCCAATAATATCCTGCCAAGCCCAGTCCAGCTTAGGCTGCAGTCGTCGAGCATAAGGTCCCTAACGGACAGGTAATGCCCCTCCATGGGCAGAACTCGCCTCATCTGTGTCGAGCACAAGGCTCTCCCAGCGACCAGACACCGCCCTCTCCGCGGGCAGAACTTGCTCCCTTGTCGGGCAGGACAACATGTCCTTCACACGTTCTCCACGTGCTCCCTTCCGCGGGAACACGTCACCGACCAACTGCCCACCTCTGGCAGAGCAGGTCAAACCCACTTTCTGGAGATCACGGGACAGTTGGACTAGGGCGAAGACCACGTCCTGGTTTTCACTACGCCACGTAAGCCATACCAGTCACCTAGGTTGGGCCTGGCAATCCAGCCCAACACAAGTGACCGTTGGCCCAGCGCTGGGGTCTCTCTATAACTACCCTCTTGCACAAGAGGGTCAGGTAATTCACTTCTTACCCTTTTCCTGTACTTATGATCACTTTGCCAATACTCTTACTTTAGCATCAGAGTGTCTTGCAAGTACACCCCCTCCTCTTCTTCAATACCGGTGAGCAGGCAACAAGTCGAAGACACGTGGCAGCCAGCGATCCCTTTCTGATCAGGTCAGATCAATAGGGATCCTGAGGTTGTGCGGGAATGAGACTGCATGGTTGAAGGAAGGATTATAAGGATTGATTGGTACTACCTATACCAACAAGATACATCTTCTTTTAGATAGTCTAATAAATAAGAACTATGTGGTTAAGTATGTTTGACATGGAATAGTATTTGGATGGGTGACCTTCTAGGAAATTTTTCGGAAAGTGTGTAGTAAGGACAAAGCATGCTAAAAAGACTCGTGTTGCTTTGTGGGGTCAGTCGGTAATCCTGAAAGCAGTTTGGGGTGTTTCAAATGGTATCTAAAAAGACATCTCCCAATACGATGTTGTTCGGGGGTGAACCAAATAGAAGCTGGTGGAAATGTAGCACTTTAGGCCTACAAGGGCGGGGAGTTATCGTTGGTGCACAATGCATGACAACGAGCAGCTCTTGGCAACTTATAGGCAAAAACCGAATTCACATCGAAATCAGAGGGATCCTTGAACTGTGTAGGTATGAGACTGCATGGTTAGAGGAATGCTTATAAGGACTGATTGGTAACCTATGCCAACAAGATGCATCTTTTTTTTGATATCCTAACAAATAAGAAATCCATAGTTATGTGTGCTTAACTTGGAGTAGTATTTGGATGGGTGACACATTAAGAAGTTTCTTGCAAAGCGTGTGAGTGAGGATAATACATGCTAAAAAGACTTGTGTTGATTTGTAACAATTGAGGCCGACGAGGGCAGGGAGTTGTCGTCAGTGCACAAGGCATAACAATGAGCGGCTCCTAGCATCTTCTAGGCAAAAACCGAATTCACATCGAAATAAGAGGGATCCTAGCATCTTCTATCGCTCATATCACGACAGGCAACTCGTTATGAGGCATAACACACATAATAGAAATTTTCAGGTTTCCTTCAATAGTTACAACACCTTCTCTAAACTACTTATATCAGTTTCTGCACGATTTTTAGTTATTACAACCACTACTTTATACTAGGAAACATATAAAAAGAGGATTGAAACAAATTTTGAGCATTCAAGCTTTATTTGCACTAAATTTAAGTTAAAATTCCACATTTTCAATTTTATGCAAGTTTCATTTTCTTCATTTCCTGCTGCTATTTTTTCCTATTGCTTCCATACTTTTACTTTTGTATTTGGATAAAATTAATTAATTTAAATATTGTTTACTTTATTTTCATGTTTTATTTATCTACCTTTTTTGTCTTGAATTTCATGTATGTTTATGCTACTTTATTAAATATGTCTGAGGACCATCATACTAATGAACCTTGTGTGAGTTGCGTAAGCTTCAATTATAATGAGAATAATGTATTTGTTTCATAAATTTAGTTTTCAAAAGAAAAGATGCTTGCTACGAAAGTAGAAACACCGAGATATTGTTTGCGAGCCGAAAAGGCAAAAATGGTATCCAACGTACGTGTTTAAATGATTGGTTCTGATATTTGCGAATTCAATTCAAAATTGATCAATATATTACATAAGTTTCTATTTTGTGGTTTATGTTTTTTGAAAAGAAGAAAAGAAGATTCGCTACGAAAGTAGGAGTGGCGAGATACCGTTTATGCATCGAAATGGTGTAAATGGTATCCAACGTAGGTATTCAAACTTTTGATTAGATATTTTGAAAGTATCTCTAAATTAATTGAGAAGTTACTTCTAATTTGTAAAAGATTTTTTACCTTACAATTTATACTGCAAAAGTCGATACATTACGGGTTTAAAGTCCAGTGACACGTCGACGAAAGTGGGTGTTACCACTAACTTAGTATTTTCTACAAAAACACAATTTTAATTATGATTAATACAGCGTTCCGTATGAGTAAAGTCGGTTGATAGAAATCATTGTTTCGGTCTCTTATTTTTCCTTTTTTCACACAAAAAACTAGTTTTCACGTAGCCTTAGATACACATAGAAGCAATAGATAATAATACTTGTTATTTCACATTGATGGATAGGATAACTCTTTATATTATTCGATATAGTTGTTATATTTGCGGTCTATCAAATTTTTGGAGTCGTTGCCAAGGACAAATTTTCAATATCATAATTTTGTTGTTTCACCATTTAGACTAAGGCAATATTTCATTTTTTATTAATTTTCCCCGCTTTTGGTTGTATGCAAAGAACCCAAAAGTCGGAGAATCTTGCCCAGTCGATTCACGAAATCGAACATTATCTCCAGATAAGATGGCGATTACAACAAATTTAAAGAGAAACAACAGAGAATGATCAACGTCCGCCTAAGGATTTTGTTATGCCCTCAAAGAAAGAACCTCATTCTAGCATTGTTTGTCTTGTCATAACAAGAACAATTTTGAGATAAAATCCTATCTACTGCAGATAGTGTAGTAGAGCAGTTCTCCGAAAATCCAACAGAAGACTCGAACTTACACCTTTTAATCTTTGTGCAATTCACCAATACTCTGAAGTGCAATGGAGTAGACCCAGAGGCTATTCAACTTAGACTTTTTTCTATTCTCCATTAAGGATAGAGCCAGAGCACGACTACACTCCCTCCTATTCAATTCCCTTATGACATAGAATGAGTTTAAAAAAGTATTCCTAGCTAGATATTTCTCTCCGAGTAAGACTGCGTAACTTAGGAAGCAAATTACCTGTTTTAGGCGGACAAATGGGAAATTGCTCTTTGAAGCATGTGAGATTCAATGAGCTAATGAGACGTACTCACATCATGAACTATAAAATTGATTTACAATTCATACCTTTTACAATGGTGTTCTCTTCAACACGAGAATGACCTTAGATGTCACCGCATAGGGCTCTCATGAACAAACCTTTAAATGAGACTTACACGCTTATCGAGAACATCGCCCAAAACCACTATCAGTGGAGAAGCGAACACGCCCTCGTTGAAAAGACCCCTTAAAGGGTGAAATTTATGAAGTTATTTGACCATATGAATGTAAAGGTGGATGCGTTATATCAAAAGTTAGATAACCTAATCATCACACCTACTACTACTACCGCTACTCTAAACCCCAATTGTAAAATGTGTGGAGTTGCAGATAATACTGATATTGCATGCCAATAGTCGTAATTGAACCCACCCGACTAGGTGAACTATGTCCAACAAGAAAACCCATATTCTAATACCTATAACTCGGGTTGACAAAACCATCCCAGTCTTGAAATGGCAAAAAGTTTGAACTGGTGCAATATCTCTTTCAAGACAAATGCTCTAGCAGTGACGAATACAATTTGAGGACACTCTTTTGTTGCAGAAATTGCTCCTATTATTATTGATTGTGTAACTTTAATGGCTGACTTTAATTTTGCCGGTTAGTTTTATTAGAAGAAATAGGAACTTAGAAGCTCATCGTCTAGTAGGACTTGCATTGTATTGTGGCTCAAAAACTTAGTTGGGTAACCATCTTAAATATCACCAAGTGTTTCCGTTTCTTTCTCTTTGAATGATTTGCTTACCAATCCAAAAAAAAAAAAATGAAAGAAATAATGTCAGACTTAAAGTGCAAAACAATACCAGCAAATTTATTAATATAATGTATTAATGGGGTACAGTTCTCAAATATAATTGCCAACATTAACAAAATCAGATCTATTGTCAACATATAAGTCAGATCAAATGCACAGAACAAAATCAGATCTATTGTCAACATGTCATTCATATCAATGAACAGAACGGGGACGAAATTTTGCCATATACAAGAACTACTGATGCTTGTATATTCAGCATGGTCAAAAAGGAATTTGGTAAAGCAAAATACTAGCAGAGAAATAAAGTAATTCACAAATCTTGTAAATTTGAGAAATGTTTGATTTCAGTTCAAACTTCTCATTGTCATGTCATTCCAAGATAATATAAAAAACAAATTACACGGCTTGAGACCTTGATAATAGACTATCAATAACATAACTAAATAAAATATAAAAAAGAATGTGTCAAAACAAAACTCTGATCAGCTCGAGTGAATCAAAGTTTTTGATTATACATGAGCAACAGTTTACGAATTCTCTTCCCCGCATAACAACTTATTACAACCAAAACCCATTAATAATCCTCACCTCTAAAACTAAGTAAATGAAGAGAGAACAGACTATGCAACTCTACTTGCTTTCTTCTTTCCCTCTTTCTTTGGAGGACTTGCCACTTTTTCTTTGATCATTCTCGACAAGACATCTGCTTGCTTTGTGTTCCCTTCCTGATTAAGGCTCTTGATCAACTCATCACGGCTACTCCAATCAGTCGCGCCTCTTTTCTCCAGAATTTTACATAAGACGGAATATGCATTGAGAGTCTTTCCTGCTGCTAAGAGAGTATCTAAAACCTTATCATAGATTGAAAAGTCTATGATAATGTCTCTCTCAAGAACAAAATCTAACAATCTGAGAGCAGCAATCCTCTTTTCTTTCTCACATAGAGTAGATATAAGGTGGTCAAAATCAGGCTCACACCCATTAAGCATAAGCAAATCAATTCTGCCCAAAGCTTCTTCAACATGGCCTCTCATGAGAAGGGCCTCCAATATCTTTGGAACCAAGTCCATATTCTCCTTCACCCCCTTCTCCACCATAGTTTTCATTACTCTGCTTGCAGTTTGCACCCTTCCGTCTTCAAACAAGCTCTCAATAACTGACCTGTAAAGAGACGAATCTGGCTGATGTCCACCTTCAAGCATGTGGTCGAAAGCTGTTTTAGCATCAGCTGGTTCTCCTTTTCTCAAGTAACTATCAATAAGCAGTTTATAAGAATCTGCATCACTAGGAACCCCTCTCCTACTCATGATTGTTGCAATCTCAAGTGCAGATTCAGGATTTCCTTCCTTTGAGTGCCCACGGAACAAGTTATTGAAAGCAACGGAATCCAGTACACCCTTTTTCATCAACTGCCGGAAAAACGTTTCAGCTTTCACTGTCTTCCCATTGTCACACAGATACTCAATCATCGGATTATAAGCACTAGATTCCATTTCAAAGGAATTCTCCGGCCTCAAAACAATATCCTTCTCAATTAACTTGTCCAACAATTTCTCCGCCCTGTCATACACTTTCGCCTTACAGAAACTCTCAATCAACACACCATAATGCCCCGCCTCCGTAGGAATACTCAACCGTACCATCGCCTTCAACACATCCACCGCAGCATCCAAGTTACCAGCTTTACACTGACAATCCATCAGTTTCATGAATACAGAATTATCCTTAGGAGCAATATACCTCTCCACCATCTCCCCCAAGAGATTAGCCGCCTCAACCAATTTATCAGCATCACACAAACCCGGCAACAAAGTAGTAAAAGTAACAGCATTCGGCTTAATACCGCAAGATTTCATCTCCTCGAAAACCTCTACCGCCCTATCAACCTTCCCCACATCAACACACCCCTTCAACATAGTAGTATAACTAATAACATTAGGAAAAATATTCTTCTCTTTCATTTCCACAAACAAACTCTCAGCCTCATCAACTTTCTTAAACCGAAAATAACCATGAATTAAAGTATTATAAGTCACAACATCAGGCTCAATACCCTTACTTTTCATATCTTCATAAAATCTAATAGCAGTATTCAATCTCAAAGACAAAAACATACCCCAAAGAAGAATATTATAAGTATGTCTAGTAGGTTCAATACCTTCCCTCAACATAGCATTGTAAAGCCTTTTCGTCATCATGTACCTTCCCCTCCTCAAAATCACTTTAAACAAGGCATCATAAGATTTAACACTTTTCTGATCCAATTTCTGAAAGATCTTAACAGCTTCCTGAACAATCCCAGCGCGACCATAGCCTTCAATCAAAGCAACAAACATGTCTTCGTCGTAAGCGAGATTCTTCTTCGGCAAATCAAGGAGAATACAACGGGCATGGTTTAGTTTCGAGAAGCGGGTAAGGATTTGAAGCATTTTGAGAGTGGTGTGTGCGTCATGAGTGAAGAGATTCGAACGTTCAAGCCAACGGTAGAATTTTAGGGCTTGATCAGGGTTAGTGGTGGCGTGAAGAATGTTCCAAACGAGATTGGAATCGAATTTAGGGGCGATTGAACGGATCGAGTTCTGGAGACGAGTTGTCCAGACACGGTTTGCGAGCATGCGAGAGATTATGAGTTCGGGATTGGTTTGCGGGGATTGGGATTGGGACTTCGATTGGGGCTTGGGTTGGGGAGGAAGTTCGGGAAGGGAATGGATAGGGAGAGGGTGGTCTGGTTCGGAGAGAGGTTCGGCGACGGAGGTGGAGGTGGAGAAACGGGAAGAGAGAGAGGTGGAGGGGAAGATAGGGTGGAGAGATGGACGCCATCGGAGAAGCTTGGAATTGTTGGAAATGAACGCCATGGTTGGGGAAGAGTGAGACTCTGCAGCTTCAAATCTTCAGTTTCAGTGTTACTAGGGTTTAAGAGAGACACTGAGTTTTTTGTTCGTTTGTTTTTCTTCCTTCTTTTCGGTGTCAATAGCAAATCATGTTAGTATAGTTAGGGGGTGTATGTTAGATTGAGATTTTGAAATATAACTTTTATTACATTAAAAAGTTTGAGTGGATTTTAAAATATTGTGTAAAGAATATAATGATTTTTAGGATTTATTTTAAAAGATTTTATAATTTTAATAGATTTATAGAATAGATACATATTTTATCAAGTTTGAAATAATTTTATGAATTTATAAAATTTTAAAGGACTATACATATTTTAAACAATATTTAGAGAAGATTGTGGAGTTTGTGAGATGAAATTGTTTCATAGATGGATAGTGTTGTTTGAGGATGAGTCTTGCCGCATTAACTCATGATGGTAAATGTTGAATTTAATTTTAAAAAAGAAAATCTAAAATTAATGTTATGGTAAATCAACTTAGTTGATAGTTGTTCAGATAAATTAGATATACAATTGTGGCTTTAAATTTATGATATTTCATTTGTTCACCTTTAAAAGGTGAATTTTAACCACTACTTGACAAAAAAAAACTAGAATCAACGAAGGACTCACAAATTATCTTTAAAGAACTCACAAATTTAATTGTAATTCTGGTCTTTCTATTTTAATTTTTTATAGTTATAATCTCTCTATTTTAAAATTTCGAATTTCGGTCCTTGTGTTTTAAATTTTTAAAATTTTTGGTCTCCCTATTTTAAATCCGAAATTTTATTCCCTCTACTTTTATTTATTTTTTACTTATGATCCCTTTATTTTAAGTTTGTTTTGGATTTTAGTCTCATTCCCCATTGAAAAAGGGGACCAAAAATCTAAAAAAATGAAAATAAAGGAACTAAAATTTTGGATTTTAAAATAGAGGGGTTAAAGTAAAATAAATGAAAATAGGGGGACAAAAATTCTGAATTTTAAAATAGAAGGACCAAAAGTAAAAAAAAATGAAAATAGAGGGACAAAAATTGCAATTAAGCCTAATTGTTCCAAACCATTTATATTCAAGTTGTTTTCCCAAAATAATCGTATGTTGACATGGAAAATCGATTTATCATTGATAATGTCATGAGACTGTCCATCACATAAGTACAAGAGATAGGGAAATGTAGGAAGGTAATGGTGAAAATTGATATCAACCAGGCTTATGACATAGGATTGAATTATGTGAAGAACATTATGATAAGAATGAGGTTATATGATAAATGAGTGATTTTGATGAATGTGTGTATAGAGAATGTTAACTACCAATTGTTGGTGAATGGCGATATTGTGGGCTCATAAATTCAAAAAGATAAGCGAGACAAGGTGGTTACATATTTATCATGTATATTTAGGGTTTATCTACTCTCCTAAACAAGCAGGGGCGCGATGCTATATACAATATGTCAAGGTGTGTCTGGGAGCCCCGCTCTTGACACACATATTATTTCCTGACGGTTGTTTTATATTTCGTAGGGCATATGTTTGTGAAGGTACCCAAATGAAAATGTATCAAGACAACTTACAAAAGTTAGAGATATTCTTTAGCAAAAACACTCAAGAAGGCGATAAAGATGCAATAAAAAATATTCTTCAAATGTAAGAAAGTTTAGTTTCTGTAAAATATTTGGGACTACCACTCATTATAGGACAACATAAGAAAGATTTATTCGGGTACTTGGAGAAAGATTCAACAATGGACAGAAAAATCATATATCTAAGACAGACATAAAAGTGTTAATTAAATCAGTGGCATAACTTATCTCAACATATCGTATGCATGGTTATACCAAAAGGATGAGGCGGAGATTAAAAGAATGATTAACTCATTCTCGTGGGGGTGAACAGAAAACGGGGAAAAGGAATTGATTGACTAAATTGGAACATATTATCTATGAGAAAGGAATGTGGGTGTGTGGGTTTTCATTATCTTTATGGATTTAATTTGGCTATGCCAGGGAAACAAGGTTGTAAGTTGTTAACCAACTAAGATACTAATGTTGCTCGGATTTTAAAAGCTAAATATTTCCCCAACGGTGATTTTTTGGGGCCCGTATAGACCATAACCTAAGTTTTATTTGGCATAGTATCATCACTTCACATGTGTTAAACAAATGAATTCAAACACAAGAGAAGGTGAATTGTGGATGTAATTTTTTTTCACAAACACTAAGAAATAAAAGGTTTTTAAAAGAGTTTTATGCAAAAGAAAGATGAGGAGCAAAATTAAAGATAATGAGCTCAAAAATGAAAGCGATAAAAGAGAAAGGAAAACACACACTAGAGTTTATCTTGGTTCGTACCAAACCATGTGGTCTACATTAATTCCTTAAGGAAATCACCTTGAGATTTTAATTCACAACCAAGATTTTAATACAGGTTTAATTTGCAACCTTTACATCAAAGCTTTTATCATAGGTCTGAATTGTTGCTTTTACACCTATTTTTATCACATATTAAACTTGCAAAATTTATATTGTACAAGTTCAAGAGAAAAAAAACTTTTTTGCTTTAGAATAAGATTAGAATAACAATAATGATTACAAACAATATCTGTATAAGGGGTTTATCTCTCTCTCTCTCTCTCTCTCTCTCAAGACTATTGTCGAAGCTGAAGATTCTGGATCTGAACCTTCCTTGGTGCTGAAGAATCTTCAAGAGTTGAAGACTGGGAATCAAGTTGTTAGATCACGCCTGGACAAGCAAGACGAAATGTTCAAGAAACAGGCCTAGACTAACACCAAGATTGAAGGGATGCTTCAAGCCATTTTGTCAAGACTACCACCCCCATCTTAGAAACCTCTTTTTTAACTTGTTGCTTTCTAGTTTTTGTTTAAGTTTTTTTATCATTTATGCATTTGCTTATGTACTTTTTGCACTTTCAATGAAATAAGGTTTATGTGTAATTTACTTTGTCTATTTTATTTTATCTTTTTTATTGATGACAAAGGGGGAGAAGAGTGGAATGCAATTCTGATATACTTATTTTCCTTCTGACACCTAAACATTTGACTCTTATAACTAATCTAGATTTGGGAACTCTGAACAAGTTCAATATTTATAAACCTTTTGTTCAAACAAGTTAACCAGGTTATCCAGAAGCTGAGAACCTTAGTTGAGAGAGAGAGAGAGAGAGAGAGAGAGAGAGAGAGAGAGAGAGAGAGAGAGAGAGAGAGAGAGAGAGAGAGAGAGAGAGAGAGAGAGAGAGAGAGAGAGAGAGAGAGAGAGAGAGAGAGAGAGAGAGGGAGGGAGGGGAATTTTTATAAGGTTTTCAGTTAACTAATGTGTTTAAGAAATTATCACCATAGTCTTTTATATAGTTGAACTATCATAAATTTCAATGAAAAAGGGAAACAATGAAAATATTTTGAAACTTATCAACAATCGATTATGAAATGTCTATAATCTATTATTCAAAAGAATTTTAGAAAACATTTCTTTTTACACGCATCATATTCGATTATATGATAATCATATTGATTACTTAGCGAGATATAAGTCATAATCGATTATGGGCGAGACATGTTTCATAATCGATTATTTGCGAACCATAATTGATTGCCCAAATTTGAAAAACATTTTTTCCTTTTTCAAAAACAAAATTCTTAAGATGTTTTGAAAGAAATATGTTTAGATGTTTTACAATTTATATATATTTTTTAATATTAGGATAGATACACCAATATTTACAACATGATCCTATGAAGATAAAAACTCTTGAAGTTTCAGATTATGTCACATTTTCTTTATTAAGATTTGTTGATGACTTTCTTAGCAAGTATACTAATATAGACGAAGTAATAAAATAAAGTCTCCTTCATAGGGATTATGCTAATTTAACATGGTTCTAATCGTGTGATTTACAGTAATAAAATGGGGTTTTCAGATTGGTTTTACAAAAAATAATTACGCGACTAAAGTTTGATAAATGTTTAGATAATGAGAAAGCGATTAGATCTTATTTGAATCCCTTAATTTCCCCTATTGATGATTATGTATTACTTGATTTTAATTGAACTTTAATTTTACATTGAATTAACAATACTATTGTGAAGTTGCATGTCTCTAACACATTCAGGGGGAGAAACCCATTATGATTTTGTTGCTTGTCTTGTCGCTTTCGTTTCGTTTATTATTATTTATTGAGTGTCCTTCATGATTGCACATTTCTGAATCAAGTTTTGAATTGGTTCATTTTTAGAATGCATAATTTAGTTGTTATATTTGAGTTCGATCATGATGCTTTTAGACAATTGGTTGAGTTAGTGGAACAAGAACCATATATGTTATTGGTTCAAGTTGGGTTGAAAAGAAAATCTCAACGTATTTTGAAAATCATGAAAAAAAAAAAAGAGATTTTATCTACATGATTCGAATCATGTACATATCCTAACTCAAATCAAATTGAACAGAGGAAAACCAAAGTTTTTCAAACACTCTAACTTGAATCATACTTTTAACTTGATTCTAATCAAGTAGCTTTATGATTCAAATCACAAGATGCACTTGATTCGAATCAGACAGATCTAGGTCACCTTTGTTTCATTTGATTCAAATTAGACTTTACACTTGACTCAAATCAGACAATTTTTTACATTTCTCTGTTTGGCTCTATCCAAGTTGACTCAATTTAGAATTTTACTTGATTCGAATCACGAGCCTCTTTGACTCAAATCAAAGTTATAAGATAATTTGAATCACACAAGAAATTGGTCAAATTCATAATGTTTCTTATTCCACTTAACTTTCTCATTTGACTCAAATCACGAGATTTTCTTGACTTAAATCTAACTAACTTTTTCCATCCATTTTGTGCTTAATCTCAAGTACATATAAATTCATTTGTAATCTCATTTTAAAACACAACTTTACATAATTTGATAATCAACATTGTGATTTTGTGGGAAATCAACACCCTCTCACTTTTGAAAA